TTTCCACGTCCTTAAGAGAACTCTTAAAAAAAAGAAATGCATGTGTAAGGACATATAGACATTCTGATGCACTAAATAAAATAAAAGAAGTAATTATGTCAAGTAGTGTGCTTGCCAATTTCAATGAGAAGTTACGAAGCGTGATACAGACTGACAGTAGTAGTAATGACTTGGGGTGCAGTCTCTTACAAAATAACAGGCCGGTAACATTTGCATCTACTGCGCTAACGACAGCAGAGTCAAATATGAGTCAAATTGAAAAGGAGTTCTTGGCAATCCTATATGCATGCAATAAATTTCACAATTGTATCTACGGAAGAAAAGTGCAAATTGATTCTGACCATAAGCCTTTGAAGGCATTGATGCATAAAGGCATTGCGGACATAACGTCGCCGAGATTACAAAGGATTAGGGTAAGATTATCTAAATATGACATAGAGGTAAAATTTAAGCCAGTCAAGTCAAGTTCATGCATGTGGCAAATTTATTATCGAGGAATTTTATAAAAGATTAAGTGGATGATGATAAATTTATTACAGAAGTAGTTCATACTATTGACATGACTGATGAGAAGAGAGAGCAATTTAGGACTGAAGTGGATGCTGATGAGGACCTGAAACTAGTGAAGAAATATTGTATACAAGGCTGGACCAAAACCTTGTCAAGAGTAAGCGATTCAATTAGGTATTATTATTATATAAGAAATTAACTATATTTACCTGATGGACTAATATTTTACAAAGACAGAGTTATAGTCCCAAAAATGTCGAGAGAGAGCATGCTAAGATTATTGCATTCGAGTCATTTTGGCATTCAGAAAACCTAACAAAGAGCAAGACATATATTACATTAGCCACAAATGAACAAAAGTATAGAAGACTGGGTAATAAATTGTAGCAAGTGTGAGATATTTAAAAGTCACAATGCTAAAGAACCACTATTACTTGGAGAGTTGCCTCAAGCACCTTTTGAAAAGGAAGCAAGTGATATATTAGATTATGGTGGACAGTCATATCTAGTTCTGATCGATTATTTTTCTAAATGGCTCGATATAGTGAAAATTAATTCAAAAACTTCTCAGGTGGTCATCAAGGAGTTAAAAAAATTTTTTTTCGACACACGGAATACCCTACGAAGTCAGATCAGATAACATGCCTTATAATTCGTGGCATTGTCAGCAATTTGCTAAAGACTGGGATTTTCGGTTTGTAACATCCAGTCCCCGCTATTCACGGTCTAATGGGCAGGCAGAACGAGCCGTTCAAATTGCAAAAAACATGCTTAGAAAGTGTGACGACTTAGATATGGCGCTCCTGGAGTATATCAATACTTCAATAAATGGAACAGATATAACACCGGCCCAATTAGTGACTAACATGGTTCTTAGATCGAAGCTACCATCAAATAAAAAGCACAAAGACATAAATCTAAAGGAAGAGTGGGAGAAACTAGAGACAAAAAGAAATGAATATAAAAATTATTATGATAGAAACACCAAGGTAAGAAGAGAAATAGTGCCAGGAGAGAATGTAGGTGTCAGAGAGGGTAGAGAATGGAGACCACGCAAAATTCTTCAAAAAAGTAGATGAGGCAGCCAGATCTTATTTAGTGCAGAAAGAAAATGGGAAAGTGGTCAGGCGAAACAGTTATCACTTGACGCCTTCCCTAGTTAAAGCGGAGATTAAGAAGAATACTTATTTTCCACATAATAATAGATCATTAAAGTCCTCATCTGGGAATCAGAGTTGTGGAGTAGAGGAACCTTCAACTTCCCAGATGAATGCTGAAAATAGAACTAGCGCTAGACTCAGAAGGGCTCCAGTGCGTTTTAAGGACTATCAAATGTAAAGAGAAAGATCTCATATCAGTAGGTTATGATTACGGTCACGGGGCTCTAGGCACAATGTATGGAGAATCGTGGTCAGTGGTCACTACTTGTCAGATCATTGTTAGAACCTAGGTTTTTAGACATTGGATTCCTAGAGACTTTGTTAATAAGTATGTTTAAATCATCGGTTTAAATAAATGTATTAAACTCAATGAAATATTATTACTAAAATTAACCCGGCTTAATTTATTTACGGCAACCATAGACATATTATGCACTATTTTATTCGTACTTTTATGTTTACTAAAAGAATATTTTGTTTACTAAAAGAATAAGAAGTAATTCGTATGACTGAGATATTAAAAAAATACAAAATAAATAAATTAAACCTAAATACGGAGTGTCTCATCGGCATAAAAAAAATATGTTCTTATCATTATATAAATATTATGATTTTAAATTTGTTGTAGTATGACCAGTTCCATCTATCCGTAGTTATTGTAATGTATCAGAATGCTTGGCAGAAAAACATGTTAAAGGATACTGTTTCCTCTTCTATTCAAATGTAATGATTTGCACCAATAGCATTGTTGCCGTACTTTGCAAAATATCAAGTGTATAAAGAAACCTTTACAAAAAAGATATTTTTTAATTGACTTTAATATAAATTTAATAAATTGAGGCTGAATTGATAAATTGTTTTATTTGATAAATTGAGTTAAAAATCAAAAACAATTACTGCAAGTACTAAAAATGAAAATCTTTCAAAGGAAAAAATGACTACCATACTTGCAATATGGACTTATATAATCTTCTTTTTACTTTTAATAGTTCATAGTAATATATGTAATAGTATAAATACTAGTAGCTTCTTGAGAAGCTACTAGTATTTATACTACGAGAGATGCACAGTTATATGGGCTACGTCGAATGCATCTTCGTAACCATACCAATATTTTCAATTATACTGTCCTACTAACGCCTCATCACTATTCAAAATAATTAAATTCCAACAAAGAGTACCATACACTCTTTAAACGAATTGCTTCCCAACTAAAACGCTTCCCACAGGCATCCGGTCGGTTGTTAAAAAATAAGATAAAATAGGATCAAATTTCGCAGCAAAAATGTTACCGCGACTATAGCAGAGGACTTTTAAAAATTTTTTAGAGCTTGATTTTTTTAGGGTGAATGATATTTATTTATATTAAAAACAAACTAATCAAAAGTGTTTAATGTTAAAATTTACCACAATTATTTTAAGACCGTTTGGAACATCTAATGGTGCGTTTTATTGAACAAGAACTTGCTGTAAATATGAATAAATATGTAGTTGAGAAACTTGAAAAACTCATAACATTCCAACGACGAATGGTATTTTAATGTGTTATTATTATAAATATTTATTTTATTTAATCATGCAATAATTTAATATTTATTTTTATTATTGAGTTAATGCCTCGACATCTAAGATCATTGGCATGGGACAGTCAGGTACCTAGTGTAGTGTGTGTGTGTGTGTGTGTGTGTGTGTGTGTGTGTGTGTGTGTGTGTGTGTGTAGAGTAGTTGTCTTGATACTTAGCAAAGTCGACGTCATAGTCTTTGCTAAGAGACGCTAATCGTATCCGCACGTCTGCGGTCCCTCCGGTGAATACCGATCGCACAAGGATAGAAATTATTTTCACTTATTAATTTTTAATAAACGAAAATTTCTCCACCCAGATGAGATTCGAACTCACGACCTTTAGGTTTAAAGGTAGGCGCTCTTACCACTAAGCCACAGAGGGAATTAATTTAATATTGAAACAATTACTCGTTTCAAAAATTTACTATTTTTACAAATATGTATTGTACTTAAAAAAATTATTTCAAAAAATTGTAAACCGTTTTTCATAATGTCACATTGTTCTAAATAAAAAAAAATAGCTATATTGGGGGAATTAGGACGCGATTTTCAGCATTGGAACACAGACAAAAAACTGTCCACACCTATGTGCAGTTGTATTTTCAGAAATTTTTTAGGTGGATGACCAAACAGCTTGCTGAATAACTGAAAGTAACAATGGCAATTTCTTTGTCACTATAAAGTACTTTTAAGATATTTGTACCTACGTGTTTTGATGAAAAATGGATGTTTTTATTTCATTCGTATATGTTCCAGTTGCTTATATTTATTGTTATATTCGATAGTCGAATATTTAGGAGAAACGTAAATTATGTACATCTACGAAAAGCGACCAAATTGAAGAAATAAAGCATTACAAAAATTGAATGGGTAATACCGACTGTTCAATTTTCTCACATGCGAAATCCATGTCATTTTTTCGCTGTATTATTAACTATCCTTATATCACAATTTTACAATCATTATCCTAGTCCAACCCTTAATAACCCTTCCTACTTACATTTTACCCCCTCTCCATAAGAAATACAGACAGTTCTAAGATAGCAAAGAAGAAGGACAATGTATATATGGATCGAAAGGTCTCGTCGAGACGAATCTAAATATGTACTTCCGGTTGCGATCCGACACCGGAAGTGACCCGAAACGCGCATAAAACGTCAAGATAGAGCAAATCTGACACCGGATTCGTGATCAGCATGCAAAATTAACTGCTAAATGATATCCATGTCGACATTTGATGAACTAAAAATTGCATTCCGGTTTTGAGGTCGACCTCCGGTTTCGTTTTTATTAAAAAGTAAAAAGTAAAAGTTTACATAACTCCCGGTGCCAAGCAAAAGTTTTCAGAAAATGGAGACATTGTAACAAAAAACATTGTTTTTGACGGAATATTTCGTGATATTTAATACACTTTTTACTTTGATTATTATTGACGAATCTTATGTATATTCTTGCTTATATTGTTTGTATTGATCTCTTAATTTTTCTCGCAAAATAAAAATTTCATTTAAAAAACTCGATGTCGAGTTGGTCCGCTAGTAATAAAAGAAAACTATAACAGGACAGGCCACTTAAAAAAACTATAAAGGAACCCAAAACAGTAAAATATACAAATTCATGTCTTACAAATCATACAAATTAAACCCTATCTGATTTTATAAAGTTAAGTTCGGCAACCCTGGTAGATAGATTTTTTTTCATTAAACTTCAATTGTCAATACTGCGCTGACATTTAACCTATTGGATTAATTCCGATGTCAATGTCAACGATGATAAAGTTTTGTCATAGAAAAAATTTTAAGCGGAATAATGATCACCAACAGTTTCAACGTTAATAATAAGATATGAGGATAACAACAATAACTCTTGGGGTTTTTATGTCGATGGTTTTGCTTGCAATCTTTTTTGCTCATGTGGTTAATTTATTAAGCACTTCTGGAGCACCTCAAGAATCAAATAAATCCAGTTTTATAAATGTAACAGATTCACCTGATCATATATTATGGTTTTTGCAAGTAAGTATATTCTATTTTTTGTGTATATTCTGTGTATGGTAGCTGACATGACCATCTACATTTTGAACAGCTAATTAATATACTAAAAGTTGAAGAATTAATGTATTTTAATAGCAAATATTAATTGTAAGTATTATTATTACTTATTAAACAAACAATAAGAGTATTAGTTAAGATTGTACTATCGCTGACAGTGTTTAAAATGTAATTGAAGCAAGCTTTAAAAGCAGGAAAAATAAAATGCAAGAATGCAGGTGTACTTTATTCTAAGAATAATATAAGTGGCACCAAACAGGACTTAAGATATATAACAGAGAAAGTCATTGAGTACAAAATAGATTATCTGTGGATGTATGTAATATGCCATTAAAATAAATGTACTCTAGAATAGAGAAGTATCTTAAAACAACTAAAAGAATGTAAAGCTCATATATTTAGCTCAAATTATCAAATTTTAATATATACACTAGTTATAGCTAGGTCCAAAAAAGCTCATGCATTCCACCACATCTTAAGATTCAAAAGTTATTATGATATAATACTATACTGTATCCTAGAATGACTTACACAACCACAAAACAATATAGTACAAGGTCCCACTACAGGATCACTATGCTCATAACATCAGAGAACACATTGGCAGTGTTTTTTTTTTTCGATTCCAACATTGTTCCGTTAGAAATATTATGTTAAATGTGATGGGTTCAAAAGAATTTTAGATCGGTACGGCTGCAACAGATTTCTACTTCTTGGCAAAAATAATTGTCATGTAGAAAAGCGTCTTAAACTGTTATAATTTTAACTTTTCACATTTTGTTTTTATTTGTATGACTAAAATTTAATCTAATCGATCTTATCTTCTGTAATACCTTTAGTGTCTTAATTTTCCATTTGCATAAATGATTTCTGAATAAACCTTAATTACGAATTGTAGAAAAAAATTAACTATATTTTAAAATCAAATTAAATACATCCTCTAAATTAAAAATACAAAATTATAGGTGCACAGTAGTTATTCTTTATTATGAAATTTGAAAGAAAACTAATACATTATTTTGTAAAAACAAATACCTATCTTTCAAGAATGTCCATATAAAATAAAATACTATTAAATAACATATATAATATACTATGTATGCACCAGGAAGGGAAGGTTACTCTAAATGTCAATATGTTTTAGTTACAAAATTCATAGTTCTAATTTAAGAACAACAGTCTTTGAACCTTTTTTGAGCTAAGATGATTTCTTCTCTTGTTTAAAATCTGGCCTGATTTCGAAAATAAACTTTCACATGTCACTGATGTTGCCACAGCACATAAATGTTTCCTAGCTAAATAAGATAAGATTTGGGTGCATATACTGACAACTTTTCCACCAATCTAAAGGATCTTTATTTTGGTCCAAAATATCATCTAGGTATCTCTGAATCTCTATTGTAGACTTGGCAGCTTTTATATGAACTTTTATTACCTTTAGATGAAACAATTTTGTCCAATGTTGACCATATAGATAACTTATTTTCGTTGTGTTGTATGTTTTTCTTTTTTTGGTTGCTTCTTCAAGTTGTCTTTCCTCTGATTCACAAAAATTAGGTTCTTTATTAGAAATAATATGACAAAGTTCTGCTCTAATGTTCTTCTTTACCTTTTCCACAGTATCAAGGGTTTTAAACCCTATTAACCCCCTCTGTGGCTCAGTGGTAAGAGCGCTTGCCTTTGAACCTAAAGGTTGTGAGTTCGAATCTCACCTGAGTGGAGACATTTTCGTTTATTAAAAATTAATAAATGAAGATAATTTCTATCCTTGTGTGATCGGTACTCACCAGAGGGACCACAGACGTTTGGACACAATTAGCGTCTCTTAGCAAAAACAATGACGTCGACTTTGCTAAGTATCAAGACAATTACTCTACACACACACACACTACACTAGGTACCTGACTGTAAAAATTCACTGTACCATGCCAATGACCATTAGTTGTCGACACATTAAACTCAATAAAAAAAAAACCCTAAAATCTTAAAATGTGTGTCCAGGAATGTTGCTATTGCTAGGGTATCATTATTTTTAATATCTTCCATCCTTTCTTTGAGGCCTCTTTGCAATTTATTAATGACCATATTGGCTATCAATGACATCCCCCTATTGAGAAGCTTTTAACAAATATTTTGTAACCCAATAGTAATTATTATTACCATTGAAGCTGCTAGATACTTTTGCCCTCTTATTACACGAGTTGCATCTTCAAAAGGCTTTAAAATCATATTTAATACTTTTAGTAACTGACATTCTTCCAAAGTTATTTGTGGCGAAATTTATAAAAATCACTACAAAACTTGACTCTGACATACTGTGCCACAGCAACTGTGAAAATAAATTCTACCCAAATGCATTAAAAACCCCGACAGGACAATAGAGTTCAAGAATCAATTCCTCGTGACACCCATGATTCCCTTCTCCTAGTTCGATCGTTTGAATTTGGTCAGTGCAACGCAACTCAACGGTTGTAGCACAACTAGGAACAAGCTAGCGGTGATCGATGAACGATATGAAGTGGTTTTACGTGAGAATCAGAAACTCGTATTAGGTTTCTGGAATAGGTATGTGTTTGGAATAGATTCAGTTCCAACCTATTACCAAAAAATGCTATTCTGTACCATTCCTAGTTTGTCATGTTCAATCAACAAATTGAAAGTGATGACATACCTGCAGTCACTATGTCATGCTGATAGTTGATCACAGATTTATCTGGTGATGTCTTATTCACACTTACCCTGCAGGTCTGTGGAATGGCCCCTTTTATCCATTGGTACTCACCATTTTAGGGTTAAGAACTATAGTCACAATTATTTTATTACTTATAGTTAGACAATTCCTTAAGAACCAACTTAAGACTTAACTGAACTACATAAATGGAATAGGTACAACATATATTATGTAGGTATGTTCATGTTTTACACTTTTTTTTAAATATTGTATCATATCTTACATTTAACTAATTACATAGTTAATTTAGTTTAAAATAATCCTTTATTGAGGTTTGTTTTTATGCAACTTATTGTATTTCTTATTTAAAACCTGTTCTCGCATGTTTAGAAGAATTATGAATATTTATCCCATGTTATGCAGGTATTGAAACAATTAAATGCTGTATCTGATTTTACTTTTACAGTTGTAGTAGTTGTTGACTCTGTTTGCCTGTTGGTTAACATAATTTGCCCTGTTTCTTCAGTCCCTTCAAACCAAGAATTTAATAAATCATAATTTCATTTTGCTGACTAAATTCTTTAAGAATATGTAGCCACTACTGTGCCTTTATTAGTTGGAGACTTTGTCAGTCTGCATTGATTTCAATGGTCTGAACGTTGATAGTTCTTCTCTTCTTCTTTTTCTTTTTTTTTATGTAGACATGACTCTGTTTTCCATTGTTTCGTGGTCTTCCTACTGATCATCTTCATATTGGGTAACCGTCTTTACTACTCTGTTTGTTGTCATTCAGCTTATATGATCATTTCATTCTAATCTTCTATTTCTTACCCAGTCCTTGATGTTCTTCACCTTGCATCTATGTCATATATATGTACTTCTAGCTCTACCCCATAGTGTTTTGCCATCAATTGTTTAAAGTTTTTTGATCTCTGCTGTTTCTAACATCCTTTTTATCCTCTCTGTGCCAAGTCGTGTTTCTGCCACATATTTCAATATTGGTCTGATGACTGTTTTGTAAATTCTGCCTTTCATTTCTTTCCCTATTTGCTCTATTTGCTCTATTCATTTGATCTTCCACTTCTGTTTCAATCTTTCCATAGCTACATAATGTAATGTCTTGATATTTAAACTCCAACACTTGTTCTATTATCTGACCTTCCAGCTTCAATTTACATCTTAGTAAATTTGCTGTTATAACCATGCATTTTGTCTAAAGTATCATCTGCGGCTGCATTAATTTCTTTTTGAATGATCCATGAACTTTTCTTTGGATTATACTTTTCATAATATCATCTAATGCATTTTTTGATCATACTTTATGAATAGGTTTTTGGAGTGGTTTGTTACCTTGAATTATTCGGAAATTCGTACGAGCCATTACTTATGGTAAATCTCCACACAATGGCGCGACGTCCTCTTTAAACGTATCCTGATTTCTTTTACGTAATCAGTCATATACCGATTTTGTCATTTGTGTTTCTCTCACAGATAATCACCTCCTTTAATCCTGTTTATCAACAATGTACTGCACTTTGGTTTTGATGCCATGTTACCCGACTGTGCGCTCATGAAATACTTCTGGCCACCACCTTGGCATTCAGGTATACCTTAACGGCATTGATAAGCTGCTTCTTCTTCTTCAAGTTCCACTCCTATCGGAGATTGGAAATCATTCTGGCAATTATAATTTTATTGGTTACTCGCCTGAATAGTTCAATTGAACTGCATCCAAACCACTCACGGAGATTGCGTAGCCACGAGATTTTACGTCTTCCTACGCTTCTTCTACCTTTGATTTTACCCTGCATTATATTCCTTAGTAGTTCGTACTTTTCACCTCTCATGATGTGCCCCAAGTATTCCAATTTCCTGATCTTTATGGAATTTAAAACTTCGCATTGTTTTCCTAGTTGTTCGAGAACTTGTTCGTTTGTTTTGCGATCCATCCATGATATTTTCAAAATGCGTCGGTAACACCACATTTCGAATGCTTCTAGGTTTTTAATGTTGGATTTTTTAAGTGTCCAAGCTTCAACTCCATACAAAAGGGTAGAGAAAATATAATATCGAAGCATTCTTATCCGGAGCGATATATTGATATCGCGATTACAAAAAAGTTTTCTCATTCTATTAAAAGTTGACCGCGCAATTTCAATGCGGCATCTTATTTCTTTTGTCTGATCAGTATCTTCTGTGATCCATGCTCCAAGGTATTTGTACGAAGATATTTGTTCAATTTCTGTATTATCTAGTACTAGCTTAACTTTGATGTTTTGTGCTTTTGTAAATA